TTCTCAGAGAGGAACTCTTTGATCCTTCTCACAAGGTTTTTGGGCAGGCCAGCTTTATTCCATCCTCCACGGTAGGACACCTTCCCAGGCCAAGCCACCAATAAGCAGTCTGGTATCATTGATCACACTGTGATTCGAAGGAGACTGATATCTTTCATGGCAACCTGGATGAAGGAGGAGGGGAAGCTTATTAGCACTTTTCCCAGGACACAAATCCCTCTTCCTGCCTTCCTGCAGGCTCCTGTGGGTTGGGAAAGTAGCAGTGTCCTAGGAATCCATATGTGCTGAACCCTTGCTCTGCTACTTCCCCTTTCCCCACCTACAAGCTCCTGCGGGCTGGGAAAGTATCATTGTCTCCGGAAGCCACTTGTGCCAGACCTGGTGTGTTCCAGACAGAGGAAAGCCACCTTGCCCACTCTCCCCACTCCTTCCTATAGGCTTCTGCGCTGGCAGGCCCCTTATCATACCTGCCTGCTTCCAAATTATGAGAGTCCAGTTGCTCCCCTGAGAACTAGGTACCTGCTATACAGTGGCTGCTTTAAAGCAAAAATTTGGACCTTCATAGAACACATCTCTATTGTCTTCACAAAGACGTTTGCTGTACATTAACAAATTAGGTTTAGACGTAACACATGTGTCTCCTGTAATGTGTGCACTTGTCTACTTTTCATTACAGTAAGAACAGCAGCCAACTTGCTGTGTACTCACGTGGCTCCAGCATCTGCCTGTCTGGCGCAGATCCACAGGCAAAAATGGACAAGGCAGGATATGTTGAAGGAGAAGATGAAGTGCATGAACACCTCATGGAGGAGATGTGGATGAAGTGCAAGGAGAGGAGAGACTGCAGGCGAGGCATCAGGAGGCCATCTTTGTTTCCCTGACCCTTGTGATGGAGCACCTGGCTGCATGCCTATAGAAGGCCTCCTCCCAAAATACCATCTGTCCCAGTCAAAATACCTGACCCTCCTCCCACAGCTCCATTGCTCCCATCCCCAGGGTCCCAGGACACGGGGTGGAGGGAGGGGGGAACTCAGGAGGCAAAAGGCTATCCTTTGCATGTTTCTGATCCCCTGTCTCTCCTTTCCCATTTTTTATTTCCCTGCTGTGTTCCATAAATAAAAACTCATGTTCTCTAAACAACGGTCTATTTATTGCTTGTATTGTGAGGGTGGGGGATTAAAGGGAAACATAGTGAATGTAGGGGAAACTTGTTGAGATCAACGTACATGAGTCTCAAAACTGGCCATTCCTAAAACTGTCCTTCAAAACCTCTCTGATTTGTGCTGCCCTGTGCTGTACTCCTTATCACCCTGGTATCCGGCTGCTGAAAGTCTCTGGCTATGCACACTGCGTCAGCATCTTGCCCTGACTGATAAGTTCCTCCTTGCTCTCACAAAGATTATGGAGCACACAACAGGCTCACACCATAAAGTGAATGTTGCTTTCACTGAGATCTATTCAGGAGACTCCTACACCTATCCTTTAAACATCGAAAAGCACATTTAACCATCATTCTGCACTTGCTTAGCCTGTAGTTGAACTGCATTTTACTGGGGTCCAGGCTGCCGGTGTGTGACTTCATGAGCCATGGGAGCAAAGGTAGGACAGGTGGCCAAGGATCATAATAGGCATTTCTACCTCTTTGATTCTGATTTTCGTGTCTGCGAAAAAAATTGCAGTGTGCATCTTTCTGAAGAGGCAGGAGTTGCTTAAGATGTGCACATCATGCACCTTTCCTGACCGTCCCACATATATGTCTGATCCACCAGTGCCTGCAGCACCACCAAGAAGTACCCCCTCCCCTTTTTTGTACTAATAGCAAGGAGGCCAGGGGCCAAGATGGGGATGTATGTTCTGCCTATTGCTCCACCACATTTAGGTAATCCCGTTGTGGCAAAGCTATCCATTACGGTATCCACATTTCCCAGAGTCACAATCCTCCATAGTAGGATGGTATTGATTGCCTTGGCTACTTGTACAACAGCAGCCCCCACTGTAGATTTCCCGTCTCTGAATTAATTCCCAGCTGAACAGTAGCTGTCTGGCTTTGCAAGCTTCCGGAGGGCTATTGTCATGCACTTATCCACTGTCATGGCAGGTCTCATTCATGTATTCTGGCACTTCAGGGCAGGGAAAAGCCATTGACAAAGTTCAAGGAAAGTGGCCTTGTACATTCTGAAGTTTTGAAGCCACTGCTCATCATCCCATATCTGCATCACAATGCAGTCCCACCAATCTGAGCTTGTCTCACCATGCTAGAGTTCCACTGTGTCCACAGCGTTGACTGACAGCTGAGCTTGCATCAGCGTTAAGGTTTGCATAAACATCAACAACCTGAGGGAAGGGAAGGGATGAGACAGAAGAAAACTTGTATATAAAATCTTCTGCTCCCCAGTCATTTTACTTGGAGTTGAGTAATTAGACCTTTGTGCTCTCTGGTAAAATTTCTCAAGTGACTACTTTTTCCTTGGTCTCGTATTTACAAAGGAAATGCATTTGCCTAGAAAGTTTCACTAGAAGGGAAAATCAGAAACCACCACTTCAGCAGTGAACATCTACAATCAAGACAAGTGGGTTGTAGAATTCAATAATCTCCCTCACAAAACTTCAACAATTTAATAATTGATACATTAAATAGTAAAATAAAACACATCACTGCTTATAAAGCTTACTTGATTTCAAAAGAGATTAACTCACTAAAATGAGAAAAATGAGGGTGGATGAGGTTCTCTAAAAATATTTTGCAGGTCATTCAAACAAAAACACACTAAATACCATGGATGACATTCCTACCATGGTTATTCTAACTCCAAATAACATGTAAAATCTCAGTGAACCATTATAATAGTTCAGAAGGATCTTAAAAGATGAGCTAGCTCTTAAATTTCTTTTAAATACTTTAGTGAAAGTTACTTCACCAAATAATGTGTGTGATTGCTTTGTTTATTTTTAGTATTTGTGTATTTGAGTTAGGGTGTGAGAGGGATGGATAAAAAAGAAGCCAACTACACTGTATTCCTTAGTAACAGGGGTTACAAGATTCCTGTTGAAGTTGCTTGAATGTGAGTAATTTTAACAGGGGCCCCTATTCAGCATAGGGAAATGTGGTCACCCTAAATTTAGTGTTAATACCTTTAAAAGCATGTGTTACAATTTCACTACACCAGAAATCAGAAATATAGTACTAAAACTGCCTTTAGCAAATCATATAGCAGTGCATGGAAGCAGAATGGCTCCCCCTTCTTACCTTATTGTGCAGCTCTTGAGACAGTGTGATAGAAAAACGTGAAGAGCTGTGTATCTCTGATGTTTGTAAGCACGCTATTATGCCACCATCTCTGCCGTTAGTATACAGAATGTAAGCTGGTGGTGGATTTTATGAGCCTGCCCCCCTGCCATTCCACGCTTCTGCCTCTCTTATCAGAGGCAGCAGCAGCCCCTGTCTGTGGGATCTCGGACCTTCCACAGAGGCTATTCCGTGGGATGCCTCTGTCCCTTGCTTTGCAGCAGCCTCCCCTATCTCCTCTCCTCCCTGTTTCTGCCTCTGATGCATAGGAAGCGCAGGTGGCACTGGCTCCTACCCACTCTTCCTGCTGCCTCTGTAAGAGGTGGCGGTGGGGGGGAGCGGGTCTGTGGAGCTGGCACATGTGTATTGGCTCTTGCCTACCCCCCTCATACGCCGCACTGCTGCCCCTCTAGCAGCAGTTGGGGAAGGTGGGGCAGGTGGGAGACGATATGTGCAGGGAGCTGGCATAGAGCCAGCTCTCCCTAGCCCCACTGCCTCTGATACAGGGGGAAGGAAGTGCGTGTAGTTGACAGGATTAGCCGATAAGCCCAGTTTTATCGGTTAATCTTGTAGTCATCTACACACAGAATCATAGAACACTAGAACTGGAAGGGACCTTGAGAGGTCATCGAGTCCAGTTCCCTACCCTCATGGCAGGACCCAGTACCATCTAGACCATCCCTAATAGATGTCTATCCAACCTGCTTTTAAGGGTGATCCCCATCTCCAGAGATGGTGATTCCGTAGCTTTCCTAGGCAACTTATTCCAGTGTTTAACCACCCTGATATTTAGGAAGATTTTCCTAATATCTAACCTAAACCTCCCTTGCTGCAATTTAAGCCCATTTCTTCTTGTCCTATCCTCAGATGCCAAGGAGAACATTTTTTCTCCCTTCTTGTGACACCCTTTTAGATACCCGAAAACTGCGATCATGTCCCCTATTAGTCTTCTCCTTTCCAAACTAAACAAGCCCAGTTTTTTCAGTCTTCCTTTATAGGTCATGTTCTCTAGACCTTTAATCACTCTTTTTGCTCTTCTCTGGACCTTCTCCAATTTCTCCATGTCTTTCTTGAAATGTGGAGCCCAGAAATGTGGTATCTACAGTCCTCCAATTGAGGCCTAATCTGCTCAGAATAGAGCAGAAGAATGACTTCTTGTGTTTTGCTCAGAACACTCCTGTTTATGCATCCCAGAATCATGTTTGCTTTTTTTGAAACAGTGTCACACTGTTGATTCATATTTAGCTTGTGGTCCACTATGACCCCTACTTTCTTTTCTGCAGTACTCATAGACTCATAGACTTTAAGGTCAGAAGGGACCATTATGATCATCTAGTCTGACCCCCTGCACAGTGCAGGCCACAAAATCTCACCCACCCCTCCTAGAATAATCCTCTCACCTATATCTCAGATATTGAAGCCTTCAAATACTTTGAAGACCCCAAGATGCAGAGAATCCTATAAAGTCATACTGCTAATTTAAATCTGCAGAGCATCTGGCCTATGAAATTCAAGTTTGAGCTCCTTTCTGAGCAGTCTGATATCTAGGGTTTCTTTCTTCCCTCCCTCTTGCCTCACAAAGTCTCTGAGGGTATGTCTACACTACCCCGCTAGTTCGAACTAGCGGGGTAATGTAGGCATACCGCACTTGCAAATGAAGCCCGGGATTTGAATTTCCTGGGCTTCATTTGCATAATATCCCCTCCCCGATCCTGCACCCATATTCCTGGCCCCAGGTTGCAACCCAAACCCCTGCACCCATCCCTTGCCCCAAGTCACAACCCCCTCCTGCCTTAGGATCACAGCCCAAACCCCTCCACATCCTTCTACATCCTAGTCTCTTGACTAAGGTCAAAATCCAAGCTCCTGCAATCCAGGCTCCTAAACCAGGTCACAACTGCCTCCTTCACCCTATCTCTCTCACAGACCCCACACTCTCTTCTGCACCTCAATCCCTTACAGCAAGCTTCCTTCTGAACCCGACCTCCATCTCAGATCCTGCACCTCTTCCATTAATACGGAAGAGTGCAGCCTTTGACCACTTTCCAAATTCTTGGAGTGGCCCCCCCATCAAAAATTATTGCCCACCTCTGATTTAGGGACATCTCCTCAGCTGATGTAAACCAATGAAGGTCCACTTACTTTATGAAGCCAAACTGATTTATATCAGCTGAGGATCAGGAACAAAAGGAGTCTGAAGAGAATTCACTTCCCTAATTGCTGCTGTATGAAAGCCAAGTACATTATTAAGATTAAAGACCCAATTGTGCAGTACTCCATCAAATCTTAAAAAGCAGTATTGCCTATGAAAGGTCTTCAAGATCAGGCCCTATATGAATACCAATTACTACAGTGAAGACTTTAAACAGTGTTCACATTCTTCATATGTTACACTGGAAACTAAAAACATAATTTAAAGATGTTGATTTAAGCAGCTGGCGATAGAACACTGAAGACCAATGCCAAAATATGTCCAGAAGTAGTTCTCAGCTACAAACAGAGGCTCCAAATCTTTGCAGAATTTCAGTTTCAAATCAACACACAAATATCTGAGGGTGCTTCAGTGCCTTGAATACATTGGGACCCAACCAGCTCAGAAATGTCCTTGGAAAGATCATTCTAAAGCAAATGGATACTAGTGTAAACAGTTTATGGTTTAAGAAGAGCTGTCTTGTAAATGTGATTTGAACAGGCCATCAACAGAAACCTGGGAACAAAAGTAAGATCAGCAAAGTATTTAACTCATTTAGGAAATGTTTTTAACTTTACACACTTATATCTCTATCTGTGGCGCACTTCAGATTTCAAACTGTAAAATCATAATAATTTGATAATTCTAAGATACTTTAACAAGGTCTACCAAATAAGCAAGCTTTAAAGTGCAAATGGCAAAAAATATTGGCTCCTTCTCTGTATCACTGAAAATCTCCCTGTTCCACCTCATTCCCCCAAAATAAAATGCATTTCTGCTTTTTCTCTTACATTAGACACTCAGTTTTTGTCTATCATGGAAGTCACTACTGCAAAATGGAAAACTGGCATGATTATTACATCACAGATATCAAGGAGGAAATATATGATGAAAGGATATAGGATTTTTATTTAGATGGTTTAGAACTGTTGTTTTTGTGGAAAACTAAAGACACTTCAAGTTAATATAAAACACTCCTGCCCCCTGCCACAAACTGTAGGAAAAATCCCAGATCCAGTTTTTTAGCACCACAGGAGTGGGATTTCTGTTTGTTTTTTTCCTTTTAACACTCCTACCAAACATTAAAGACAACTATTTAAAATTTTCAAATATCTTGATTAAAGATAACCAGTGCAAATACAAATTCAAGGTGTAGGATACAAAAGTGAACACAGGACACATATATATTTAGGAATTATAAAGCTTACTAATCTTTAACAAACTAAAAAGACATCATCAACTTGAAATCTATTTTTAAAAAATTGAAGTAATTTCAGGCACTGCAGCTACACGTATGCCTCTGCCAATTATGTGACTTTGCAATTATAGTTTCTTATTTTTAACACTCCCTCTCTCTCTCTCCTGTTGTTGCTGAGTAAGAGATGTGTACAAGTAGGAAGAAATTGACTGACTATTAGAGGAATAGTCAAATTAAGTATAAAGTGGTGTTAATTCTAATCTTTTTCAGTTATAATTATAGATGCTACAGCAGGCATGGAATTTTCAGAGAGAAGTGTAATTTTTAAACAGACAGTCCGTTCAAATGTCATTTCTTCTTATACCTAATTTAAGACAAAAGTCCCAAAGTACTGTCATAATTATAAATAAAATTACAGTCAGCTATATAGTTTTAAAACTTTAACACTGCTAGTATAGTATATTTTACTTCCCAACTGAAATTTAGAAATAGCAATTAAGTAGAAAAATACACTGTAAGAACAGTTAAAATGAAAACAAGTTATGCAGATTAACATGAAAATCTCTTCTAAAGGAAAACACTGAATCATCCAAGGCCATTTACTACATATGGGGTTTAAATTGTTAAAAATTTTGATCAGCATAAATAATATTACTGCCATATTATATCTTCCATCACCAAATTAAATAGGTAAACTTACTGTACTTGATTACCACACAATTAACACTTATAGTTCATTGTTGGGCTAAAACATGAACTGTTACAGTACAAACTGTATCCCAAGAAAGAAAGTTGCACTTACTTTTTTGAGGAGAGTATGGGCATGTTTATCTTGGCATCTGCATTAAAAGAGGAAGTTTTACTTAAGCATTTTGATAGTGCAATGATATACATGCACATATCTGCAATTAATGAGGACAAACCAAGTGGACAGAACTAAAACTGTCAAAAAAGCGGAAAGTAATACAGTATGACTTACCTTGCCACTTAGCAGCCAATAAAGGGTCTGAAATATTGTATTCTGGTCTGCTTCTTGAAAGAATACCTTTTCCAAAATAGCCCTTCAGGTGTAGGAAAAAAAAGTTGAACAGAATTATTAATACAAAAGATAAAAAGGGATATCTTCCCAAGTATATACGAGCCCCTAACATAAAATTACAGAAACAAAATTAGACCAACCACAGAGCACCAAACTCATCCATCTAAAAACAGATGAATTCTCTCAAAGGTCCACTTGTGCAGCAGCCCATGTAAATAGCTATCTTGCAGTATGCTGCGAAGGTCAATAGAACCTGGTGCAAATCTTAGTGTCTCTCCTGTGAAGGAACCCTACCACAAGCCCTCTCTCTTTTAAATTAAGAGCTAGCCATCTTGGGTGCCATTGGCAATTTTATCTGTGATAGCATGACACAAATACAGAAGCAATCTTTCAACTAGTGAAGTGCCAAATGATTTGTGGATTTATGAATCAAATCCAGCACCTTGAATTCAATTCAGAAACTACAGGTATTCACACTGTATTACGGATTATCAGTAATAGATGGAGTCACTTAATGGTTTGGCCGCTGCATTGTGTACCATCTTAAATTTCTTGACTAATCCAAGGTTTCTTACTTAACATCTAATCCAACATTGGAAATGTAGAGTTTGAGATTAAAATTGTTTACTAATCCTATATATTTGCACAAGCAAAAATTTCAATAGTTTTTTTAAAATCAAGATGGTATTAATTTTTAAAATATACAATTTTGATTAAGTGAGATTCCAAGAACAAGCAACTCCCTGTATGATATTCAGTCAAATCCTGAAGATTAAAAAAATCTAGCAGATTATAAAGCCTATTGACCTTACAATTTATACCTTATTATTGACATTATCATTGGGAATTAGGCATAAAGAATTATATGTATTGCTAGTTTTAAGACTTCTGATACTGTGCTATCATTTTACTCTAAAATATATTTTTTCATGTTGGGAGTAAAATATTTTCTAAAATTCTCACTAGAGAATGCATTGTACAGAGAATGTTAGTGACATCACAAATAGCATACATTGAAAATATAGAATTAAAAAAATAGAGTGTCACCTTGCTATACAACTGTTCTATGTCTTCAGGGTTCCTTACAATTACATTATTGTTAATAATTTCTGCCTGGCATATCTTGAAATCTTTCCCACAGATGTCTTCCAGAGAGGCAGGAATAGGGAATGGAGAATCATATGACTCAAACACTCTTCTTTTCCTTTTTGGGGCATGGAAAACTGCTTCTGCCATTTCCCAATAATAACCTTTTCCTAAATAACGATAAGCTATAAGACAAAGAGCAGAAAAAGACATTTTTAATATTTTAGAAGCTGGTTTATTTTACATGTGGACCAGCAATAAAATGTGGAAGTCCCAACTTCCACTCTAATCACTAGACTATACAGCAAAAAATATTTATTTAATAAGTTAATTTTTGTAATGCAGTTGCACCTAATGACCAGAGTTCCACTGTGCTATCTGTTGCACAAACATATAGCAAAAAAACAGTCCCTGTCAAAAAATGTCTAATTTTAAGAGCGACAACATGACAGACATCGGAGAGTGAGGTAACAGTGAAACAGCTAGCATGAGCACTAGTCTCAGCATAGTGCCGAACTACTAAGTGTTTTTTCATATGCATTAGGACAGAGAAGGAAGCCTAGCATAGTCTCCCTTAATTCGTTGCAGTGAGAATCTAGCCGTATTATTTGTTCCTACATGAAGGATGATCAATGGATTCCTTCCTGCTCCCTTAATAATTCTCTTCAACCTCAGTTCCACATCTCGTATCTTAGCACCTGGCAGACAGCACACCCTTCTATTCTCTGGATCAGCTCTGGTTACAGGCCTATCTATTCTTCTCAATAAGGAGTCCCCAATCACATAGACCTGCCTTTTCCTAGTGACAGTGAAATTCTCTGGTCTATCTCTAGCTTCCTCTGGCTGCAAGTCCTTACCATTCCTATTTTCCCTTGTAATCCTAATGCTCATTATTGGTGTTGTCTCCATTAAGTCTTCCCCTTTATCTATGGGACTAGCCACTCTTCTTTTCTTCCTTACCCTTCCATCTTCATTATCTACCTGCTGTACCCCTTCCTAGACAGTCGCTTCCCATTCTGTTTGCGTGAGACTGATTGTTCCTTCCTAAGTGGAGTACTTTGCATTTGTCCTTATTAAACTTCATCCTATTTACCTCAGACCATTTCTCCAGTTTGTCCAGATCATTTTGAATTATGACCCTATCCTCCAAAGCAGTTACAACTCCTCCCAGCTTCGTATCATCTGCAGACTTAATAAGCGTACTCTCTATGCCAGTATCTAAATCGTTGATGAAGATATTGAACAGAACTGGTCACAAAACAGACCCCTGCGGAACCCCACTTTTTATGCCCTTACAGCAGGATTGTGAACTGTTAATAACTACTTCCGGAGAATGGTTAACCAGCCAGTTCATGCACCCACCTTATAGTAGCCCCAGCTAGGCTGTATTTTCCTAGTTTATTGATAAGAAGGTCATGCAAGACCATATCAAATGCCTTACTAAAGTCTAGGTCCGCGGTTCTCAAACGTTTTGGGCTCTGGAGCCCTTTACATGTGTAAAAATTTATGCGGAGCCCCAGCGGTCCACTGATTGTATGTGTTGTACCTGTCGATGTTTCCAGTTTGTCGGTCTCGCAGAGCCCTGGGTCTCTGTGGAGCACAGTTTGAGAAACACTGGTTTAGGCATACCATGTCCACCGCTTCTCCCTTATCCACAAGACTCGTTATCCTTTTGGCGAAAGCTATCAGCTTGGTTTGACATGATTTATTCTTTACAAATCCATGCTGGTTGTTACCTATCACCTTATTATCTTTCAGGTGTTTGCAGTTGAATTCCTTAATTACTTGCTCCATTATCTTTCCTCGCACAGAAGTTAAACTGACTGGTCTGTAGTTTCCTGGGTTGTTCTTATTTCCCTTTTTATAGATAGGCACTATATTTGCCCTTTTCCAGTCTTCAGTACATCCCTACATGGTAAACTGATACTCCTTTGCTGTACCTTTAAAGCATACATATTCACGGATCCTAATAACTTGATTGATTGTGATTTGGATTGCTTAACATTAAGGATTTTTATGTTTGTTTTTAACAGGGCTACAATAGAGGAGGTATATTCAAGGTCAATGACAAAGCTAGCCAAATCAGCAAGCAATTACACACAGCTTGGGTAAGTTAATGTGTGTAAAAGTCAAACTATGAATCCCTGAATGTTTATGCAACTAAGATTTCAATCTAAATATTGCACTAATAGAATTAAAGTTCTGGAAACAGCCTTAACTCTGGCATCTTTAAAATACATTGTATTACAATAAGGCTTTTAATTATATGATTATGCTGTTATAAAAAACAAATAAATTCATGGAAAAATAAAGAAAAAGATGGATTTTAAATATAAAATGGTACACAAGCTCATTTCCTTATACAGTCTTACTGGAGGAACAATTACGGAGCTACAAAAGTTTCAGAGGGATAGCCGAGTTAGTCTGTAACAGGAAAAACTTAAACAATGAATAGCCTAGTAGCATCTTAAAGACTAACAAAATATGTAGATGGTGTCATCATGAGCTTTCGTGGGCACAATCCACTTCTTCACATGACTGGAATTTTAGAAGTCCAGATCCAAGAATAAATAAGGGAAGGGGGAGGGGGGGAAGTAGAGAGAGAAAAGGAAAAAATAAAGACAGTGAGTATAGATTGTTCAAGTAGATACAAGAGGCTGATAAGGACAATTAGCAATTCCATATGATAATGACTTAGCCAACTAACCAAACAATGGAAGGTAGTGTATGAGTTAGGGGAATGTCTCTCTTAATTCTATTTGCATAAGAATTAAACTTGTAAATGAAATTAAATTCCAACCCTTTGCTGTGTGTTTGGCTTGTGGAATTGACCTGAAACAACACAGTGACTTGGAGATCCATTGATGAGTGCCTGGGCAGGTTAAAGTGTTCTCCAACAGGTTTCTGTGCATTGCCTTTACGGATGTCTGATTTGTTCCATTTAGTCTCTTCTGAAGAGACTGTCCAGTTTGTCCAATATACACAGCAGTGGGGGATTGCTGGCATTTGATGGCATAAATCACATTAGTGATGTGCAGTTAAATGAGCCCCGATGTAGTGGCTGATGATGTTGGGTCCAGTGATGAAATCACTTGTGTAGATGTGTCCCACACACTGAACCTCTCATTTTTGTCTCTACCCCAAAGCAATATGGGTCCATAAAATCCACTAACTCTAGAACCTCAGAAAAATAAGACCCCCTCACCCCGTGGGGATGGAGAGCCAGAGGAGAGAGTTGTCTTAGAGGCCACATCAGTGACGGTTGGGGTCGGGGGGAGGGGTTGGAGTTTTTCTGCTTCTCACTTGTGTGTGTGGTCCCCCAACTGATTTTTCTGTGCATCAGTTCCCTCTCTACAGATGGACCTCAGCAGTGCTCACTAGCATCTTCATGTCTAGATACTTATCCCCTTTCGAAGCCAAGTTTTCTCTCCCCAGTTAATTAGTTTTGTTAGCTTTGAAAAAAAATAGATTCGGATAAGTTTTCTCCCAGTTAACCACTTCCTGCAGTTACTATCTTGTTTCAGTTTCATGCCTGGCTCACCAGGTTTGTACGCTGTTCCTCATGCTAAGAGCCTATCCCCATCTCAGATGGGTACTCACAATGCATCCGCCACCTTGGAGAGCAGCATCTCTCTCAAACATGCTCTCATTGTGCAAAGTTGAAATCACGGATGAAAGGACAGAGACCTCCGTCTCAAGCTATTTTTACTTGAGAATTCTCATACTAGCTTCTGACTCAGACCAGGAGCCCGAGGAACACAAACAGTGCGGAACCAAAAAGCCTGCCAAAAAGTGAGCCTCCTATTTACCTCAGGGGCATATGGCACCAAAATGGCCATCTCACTCGTAGCCAGTGCTGAGAACAGCAACGGCACCATGTCTCAGCACGTATGTTGCTCCAGGCATCTCAGGAGCTGCCAGCACAGCTAACAAAAATACATGCACTAAACCACACTCTGAAGCATCAGGCTTCAAGTTGCCTGCCTCATCAGCTGCAGTAGCACCCAGCCCTAATATAATTTTTCTGGCCCAGCATAAGAGCATGGTGCCTACCATATTACCTGGTGCTTCTGCCTCCCCCACAGAGAGGCCTAACATGGTGCTAGTCAGTTTGACACCGAGGCATGATTCAACACCTAGAATAGCGTCTGTGCTTCCCTCTATGGCACCATCAACATCAGCTGAGCACTAACCTCAGCACAGAGACTTGTTAGTCTCATCTACCTTCAACTCACCATTTTTAGACCCTGATTGCTCTGCTATGTTAACATCAGAGATCACTTTTTCAAGAAAGATTTTCATCCAACTCTGAAGATGAATTTTCTAGGGGTTTTTCTCCAGAAAAGTCTCCTTACACAGATCAGACTACTTACTCTTCTAGATCTTACCATAAATTTGGGAATTTGCCTCCATATTATGGCAGTCCGTGGATACCCCCACCCATGCTATACCGTCATTGGCAATATTGGGACAAATGGCAATCATATGAAAAATACCAGCATGGCTGGAAATGACACAGATTGCAATTTTCCCCTTCTAAATAAATACATGAAGGGGACCCATCCTACAAGAGGAGGGTGCTTCTTGTAACCACACAATGGAGGGAGCATCTGTGCCTTCAGCTTCTACTAGCTCAGATGGTGTTGCATATTTACAAGATCTTTTTAAACATGCAGTTACTGAATTTAACATTCCTCTCCAGGAGGTTGTTGAGAATCAGCATGAACTAACTGACATATTGCACTTGGTAACACCATCTAAAATAGCACTGCCGATTAATCCAGCAATAATGAAACTGGCAAAGACAGTAGGGCAAACTCCAGCACCAATCTCTTCTATCACTAAGAGAACAGAGAAGTATTACGTTCCACCCAAGGGATCTGAATTTCTCTTTACTCATCCGGTACCTAGCTCCTTCGTGCTGGAGGCTGTACAACAGAATACCAAGCAGCAACAATTTTGGTCCACTCCATCAGAGTGTGATAGCAAAAGACTTGACTCATTTGGACGCAAAACATACACATCTTCCAGTTTACAATTTTACATTTCTAACTATGCGGCTTTATTAAGCAAATATGACGACAGAAATTACACTAAACTTAACAACTTTATCACAGCTATTCCTGAGGCTAAAAGATAACAGTACAAAGGGTCACATGATTGCCAGAACAGCATTGCAAGCTGCATTAGAGCCTGCTGACAGCTGCATCATCCACAGCAACAGTAGTAGTCATGAGAGGAGCTTCATGGCTTAACTCAACTCCATTCCCCAGAGAAATCCAATCTGCAGTAGAAGATTTACTTTTTGATGGTCAGAAGTTATTTGTAGCTAACACCAACAAAATTCTCCATTCCATGAAGGATTGCAGAGTAACAGTTCATTCCTTAGGAATCCACAACCAGGCACCTAGAAGAAGACTATATAGGTATCAGCCCTACCCGAGACCTTGACACCCTCCATATACTCAACATTACAGCAGACAAGACCAACACCAACAGAACAGAGGCAGAATTCAATGACAACGCCCTTCCTCTACCATCCCTCAACAGTCGCAGCAGTCCAATAAGCAAATCTGAACATCAGGTCTAGGGTCGAGAGAGCCTCTCACCTATTCCAACGCTGGAGGGCTATAGAGAGTCCAAATGGAAGTATCTTGTATTGGTAGTGTTAGTCTATAAGGTGCCGCAGGACTTCTTGTTACTTCAACAATAGGGAGAACACCTCTTGCACATAGGTGCAATTGAACCAGTCCTGACACAATTTAGGGGCAAATGGGTTTACTCCCATTACTTCCTGACAGAAAAAAGATTGGGAGGTTGGAGACTCATCTTAGACCTCCTAATGCTCAAATTCATACAGGGAACAAAAATCAAGATAATGCTTGCCACTACATTACTGGTGTTGGAACAGGTAGATTGGTTCTCGTTCCTCGACTTGCAAGATGCATACTTCCACATTTCCATCCACCCTGTTCATACATATTTTCTTAGTTTCACTGAAGATTCTCAACACTACCAGTACAAGGTACTTCCATTTGGACTCTCTATGACCCTGAGGGTCTTTTCAAAGGTTTTGGTCATTGTCACAGCATATCTGAGAAAGCAAAGCATCATCATATTTGCTTACCTGAATGACGGCATCTTCAAGGCGCGCTCACACAATTCCTGCTATTCACTGTCAATCACAGAGCACTTATTCTGACAGCTCGGCCTGCAAGAGAATGAAGCCAAATCAACGCTGTCTCCTACACAAAAGACACAATTATAGGAACGTGCCTCGACTCACCAAGGGCCAGCGCATCCCTCACTACGGACCATTTGTACTTCTTGTGAGTTCTTGTACATTTCAAAAGCAGAAGCCCTGCAGGGAACTTGAGGCTGGTGGGGGAGTCCCGTTAGGGCTCTTGTACATTTCGAAGGCTGAAGCACCTCACAGAGCTCAGGGACAAGAGGGATCCCCCGCTGGTCCCATGCTCCCTCAGGGATTTCTTTTTGAACTGTACAAGATCCCACTGGGGCTCTTGTACATCCCAAAGGCTGAGGCACTGCACAGACCGTGGGGTCAGAGGGGTCTCCCGCTGGTCTCTCACTCCTTGCTGGGCTTCCACTTTTGTACTGTAGCAAAACCCCAATAGGGCTCTTGCTACAGTTCAAAGGCAGAGGTGCCCTTATAGACTAATCGAATAGCCGATGGAAATCCCTAACTAGTAAAACAGAACAAGATCCTTGTAATTAAATTCACTTTAACTGGGCAATGCTCTCTGCCTTATTTGTGATGCTCTTGTGTGTCAGCAAATCTGCTCTTAAATTTAAAAAAGGAAGCTTTATATTTAAGATTTAAGCTTGATATTACATCATTTTTAGAAATATCATGTGGCAAGATTCACTGATGCTATCATGTTCAGTATTCAAGTATATTTTTAATACCACAGTACTTTTACAAAAATGTAAAGTGACAAAATGAAGACATTTTGAGGGTATTTATTAAGGATGTTAAATATCCGTTAATTTACTAGTCATATAGTTTTACTAGTTGAGTATTTGATGGAATTTCCATCGACTACTCGCCTAGTCAATCGGCACTTCTGCAGGAGGAATGCGGAACTCC